GTAACCACTTCCTGGATCTCTCTTCAGCAGCTCGTATGTGGTCGTGTCGCTAAGGAGTGTCATGATCTTATCTTCATAGTCCAAGAAAGACCGTCCATCTTTATGCAGAGGTGGAGGCCTCCGTTTTCAGTTGTCCCCATCCTACAGCGCTGCTATTGCCAGTATCACTCCACCCCCTGTTTACAATAGGTGTTAATTAGGTGTCAACGATAGCCATGTGATGTGAGTATCAGTCACATGGAAACAGTGCTTAAAAGCCTGAATTTTGCCTGAAACTCTCAGACTGAAGAAGTCTCTTGGAYGAGAGACAAAACGTTTCATTAAAGAACAACCCGTCCAGAAGACCTATACAATTTTTTTCTTTTTTGATTTTTTACCTGGATTACTGAGATGCATCAGGACAAAACAAAACAAAAAACTCTAAATCCTAACAAATAAACCTCTGGTTTTTAAAAAATTAACTAAAGCCTTGAAAACAATTTCTACAGAACTTCCATTCATTATTTCCCTAATTGAAAATGGGCGCTTTTATTGTAAAATCTTGTTCTTTAATATTTTCCTCTGATATTTATATTTATTACAATACATGATCACATGTTCCGCTGTCTCTGGCTGTGCACAATAATCAGTTTCCATTTTCATGTTTTCAAATAATATAACCAGTGAGCTGGAGTACTGAACCAGAATATATACAAACAGAGGAAATGAGGAGATGAACAACAGCTGAAGGGAATGCTGATTACAACGAGTGACAGGTGAGCATAATCACAACGAGAGTGAACAGACTGAGGAAGAATGAGTAGTAATGACACTGACAGAACACACGAGGGCGACATGAACAAGACAACACATYTCCTCACAAAGGCAAAAATGGACCAAATTCATTAATATACCTGAAACACAAATACTTTTAAAGTAAAATCCTTTCATTTTTTTATGATTAAGCAGCCAGTCAGGTGGCTGACGGTGTTTTTTATTCGGTCTGTGCACTTGGAGAAAGTTTGATGTTTTGAGCGGCTCCAGGGACATTTCATAAATTGATCAAATATGAGTACTTATGGTCTTATAAAGTGTATAAATCTACAAATGTGCTTAAATCTAACCTTAATGTTTCTTTTAGTTACTTGTTTCATATTTAATCTTAATATAATTCAAAGACAGATGCATCAGTGTGAAAACAGCAGCACGATAAGATACAATTCAACTGCATTGCTCCTTTTGGGAGGTTCCCTCGAGGAAATTACATTTCCAGTAGCCACAAAGAACAGCAGGGGAATAAAGAAATATTAAAAAAAACAGCCATTAAAAAGTCTGTTGTGCATCATTATCGCACCTGTCTACTGCTGTGATTGCTCACTGTCCCATTTATGATCTACTGCTTCTTCCATCCTCTGTCCTGTCAGCCCTCCTCCCCCCAGGGAAGTGGTACAGTCTGACAGCGTAAGGGAAAAWGGGTTCCATCTTGCACTTACACTCTGATAAATTAAACAGACATTTACTTAAATTTTTTGGTGCGACAAATTTACACTCAGAAATATTGAGTAGAGTGGGAAATCTTTTAAATATACTTTGTCAGTTGCATAACTGCAACTAAAAAATTGAGTTAACATGAATAATTGTAGTTACTGCAGTAACATACAAAATAAAGTAAATGTAAATGAAATTATAAGTTGGAAAAACAGCTATTTTAAGTGAAAAGTACATGAATAATTGTAGCTAATGCAGTAACATACAAAATTAAGTAAATGTAACTGAAATTATAAGTTGGAAAAACAGCTATTTTAAGTGAAAAGTACATAAAA